CTGGCAAGCTTTCTCACATATCCACATTCGCCGAATCTTAGACTCGAACTCACGCAGACAGAGGTGAGATGGCAGTGATCGTAACGGACAGCGCATTAGACCACTCGGCCACTCGGGGCCCCATATCTTTTTCAATATACTGTAACTCTTTTCTTCTAATAACACAAATGGTGAAAGGTGTTACATACCATGGGAGAAAGGTTATTGCTTATGAGGGATCTGTCAAAACTGCTTTTCCAAATATCATTGTGGTACCAATTGTGCATGAGAGTGTGTGATTACAGTAGTTTTTGGTTTACTGTTTAGAAAATATAAAACTACCCCAAGCTAGCTTCGGGTTGGCTTATTCTGCTCTACACGGTAGTGTCTATCATAATGTGAACTTGGACATGTCAACTCAAATACTTTTCCACTAGTGGTTTGTATTGCGGGTAAATATTGGGCAAATTTTGCGATTTGATTTACTTCTTTTCCAATCTCAGGTGACACCAGTGATTCAAATTCCTTTTGTATATCTGGTCGTTTCTTCATGGTTAGTTTATGTTTTCAATTTATGTGAAGATATTGTTGCAAGCTACATGAATTCTAATTGCTCTTTATGAGAAGGTTGGGTAGGTCAGAGTGGTTGTAAATCCCATTGGCTGTTCCTTTACACTGACACAATTGCACACAATGGTGTCTCCATTTGCAAACATCGATGCAAAGTTAGTTGTAATGTTTTCAGGTGAGGCATTCCAGAAAGGTCTTATTGCCATTAGGAGCTATTAAAGTCTCATTAACATGGATTTAAAGAAAGCACTGCACACTTTCCATTGCCACAACTCCTGTGGAGATTATCGACATAAAAACAGTGCCATGGATGGTGATAGTATCATTGTCAATGCTGAGTTTAAAATTGACAACATTTTCAAAGTCTTGCATTGAATCCAATAAAGTGATGGAAGTGATGGCCCAGGTGGAGTTGCCTCACAACTGAAAAGATAGGATTAATTGCCAGACTCACTGTGTCAGTTTATGGCAATTGTCTTTAATTTTGAAGGTAATTGTGCAATCCAGCAAACATATCAGCCCTTCTTTGTCATCTAGGACACATTTAAATCTCGCAAATACTGCCTTCACAACGTTTGCACCAATGTGGAGATCCAAAGGTTATGGCTTTCCACCTCCTCCTATAAAATAACAAGACAAACTTCAATTGTACAACCAATTAAAACAAACTTCAATTGTACAACCAATTAAAACAAACTTCAATGGTACAACCAATTAAAACTTGTAGATTGTGTAATCAGAATAGAACAAGGAATGGCAAAATGAGACAGCAAGAAACAGCTTCTATGGAAACTGTAAGAAAGAATTTGGATTGGCCTGTCTTCTGACTGTGAGTTATGTCTTCTTCATCTTTTTCATATATTTCTGTATTATGTGTTTCAGAAATATTTATATTATCATTATTTAAAACATTTATATTTTGATTTGTACAATAGAAAAATGTATTGCTTTTAGAAATTATTATGTGGATAAATTCAAAGACAATTGGAGTTTATTCTTTAATTTAGTATTGGGTCCACTGTTTTTACATTGGCTGAGTCTTTAGCATTGGTATGTTAGTACATCTCTCTCTCTCTCTCTCTCTGTCTGTCTCTCTCTCTGTCTGTCTCTGTCTGTCTGTCTATCTCTCTCTCTCTCTTCCTCTCTCCCTCTCTCTCTCTCTCTCTCTCTCTCTCTCTCTCTCTCTCTCTCTCTCTCTCTCTCTCTCTCTCTCTCTCTCTCTCTCTCTCTCTCTCTCTCTCTCTCTCTCTCTCTCTCTCTCTCTCTCTCTCTCTCTCTCTCTCTCTCTCTCTCTCTCTCTCTCTTATATTTTATGTTTAGTGTGTACCTGTATGACACATTAAGAAAGCTTTCAAATACCACAGTTTTTTCAATTAAGTGAGCAGCAGTACAAGTTACTAAGTCTGAGAATAAAATGGAATGGAATATATGTATAATATATATATATTGGTGCTTGCATTTGCACAACAAACTGATAAGTCTATGATACCATTCAGAATCCATGAAGCTATGACACCTTTTGATTTTTCTTACAAAAATTTTCCAGTCTCATGGTATAAAGTGTCAAAAGAGGAGCCAGATAATTTAGGAATGTGTATTGATAATTATAAGTAATGTGAAAAAACCACCCTATGTCCAGAAGATTATGGTCTAAATTGTTTTAATACAATTATATATATATAAATATATATATATATATATATATATATATATATATATATATATATATATATATATATAAATATATATATATATATATATATATATATATATATATATATATATATATATATATATATATATATATATATATATATATATATATGAATGATCTGAATCAGATTTCATGGAATACAGCACAAATCTCTGAATATTTTGATGATGTTTTAGGTACTAATGAATTGATCTTTTCATAGAACCAGTAAACAAATATGTCCCTTTAAAACCACAAAGGATAAAAGAAGACTATCAGCTAGGCTGGATTTGTGATCAAGTAGCCTCTAAAATCTGTAGGAAATCAAGCTAAATACTAAATACTGAATTTGAAGAAACAAAGTTAAGAAAATTATGTGCCAAACCAAAAATGCACTCAACAAAAAAGTGCTTAATGAAAATAGAAATAACCTGAAAGTTATCTGGAGAATTTGTGTATGTGTGTGTGTGCATGCAGAGAAATGTAAGAGTGAAGCTGAAATTTTATCCTTCAATCATGAGGGCATTTATACCAATAATCCAAATGACATCTCAAATATTTTGTAATGACTTCTTTTCTTTGAACTGCTGAAAAACTTTGTCTTATCATCTGGAACTCAAAACATTAGATGCTAAAAAGATCTTTAACAATAGAAAGTTTGAAATTCCTAAAATGAGTCTGGAATTTGTTTTAAAATATATTTTTAAAAATGGATGATTGCAAAGCTTACGGGACTTGATATGATTGGACTAAGGCTACTAAATGCAGCTGCACCTGCTATAGTAGACAGTAAAGCTTTGACTTTACAATGAAAGTATTTTGTCTAATCAATGTCCAAAACTGGCAAGGTAACACCATTGCAAATGTGGAACAAAAGATGATGTAAATAACTACAGATCCATCTCTATCCTTCCTTGTCCCTCCATATTACTATAAAAACATGTACATGAATCTTTTCTCAACTATTTGATCACTTATATCTTATTCATGATAATCAGTCTTAAACTTCTCTTATATCTTTGATAAATGGCTGAAAAAATTAAATAAAGGCTTATTTTTTGTAAAACTTTCGATCTTACAAACCATGACATTTTGCTTGAAAAATTGAAAATCTACCAATCCAATGAAAACTCCCTAAACTGGTTTACTTCTTACTTAACTGATGAGTACAAAAACTATCTTTAAATGGTAAATGTTATGAAAATAAAAATATTAATTGTGGAGTACCACAGGGCTCTCTACTTGAACCTCTGTTATTCATTCTATTTATCAATCCCTTAAGAAATGCATTTTCTTTCACTGACCCCATTGCAAATGACACTATATTATCTGAATTAGGTAAATCAAAACTACTCAAATATAATTAATGAGATGCTCTTGACAATGTGAACCTTAATATGACCTCATGCTAAAATTTTTGGTGTATTCAAATACTAAAATCTTACCTGGTCTATTTGCATTAAACATGTTTCTACAAAGGTTCATTCTTACTTTTGGCTACTGAGAAAAATCAAAACATATATTTCATTTCAGTATAGGATATTCTTTTATGAAAGTTATATTCAGTTATATCTGGACTATTGTGATGTAATTTGGGGTAATACCTCTAATTCAAACAAAACACTTTAAAGACTACAAAAGAGGGCATACCATTTAATTCCAGATAAATATATAGACAATATCCAGGAAGTAATGAATAATACATTTATGAAGAATTAATAATACAAGAAAGAAAATATTTCTTATTAAGGTGAAATTGATATATAATGTATAGAGAAAAGCCATTCCTGTCTATCAAAGTGATATCTTTCACCAAAGAGATGCTGATGGTATACTAAATTTAAGGTCTGTTAGAATTAAAAATTACATTATACCAAGGCCAAAGAAGGAATTGTTTAAAAAGTTTTCAATATACTGGTCCACTAGCATTTCTTCTTTTCATAGTCTATGTCTCAAATGGATGAAATCTTAAGACAATATAGAACAGTTCTACTAATATAAATACTGCCTGCTTTTCTGTACTTTTGCACCATTTTCATAGGTTTTCAGTACGGGATATTTTTTTTTGTATATGTTTCTTTAGTATATGTTTATGTATTTGAAGATGTCTGTGCACATATTCCAGGCATGATCAGGCTTGATACTTTGAGTTTTAGAATCACATAATTTGTTAGAGGCAAACCAAATTTATCTTATTCAGTTGTATATACTATATTGTACATAACAGCAAGAATTCTTCAAGGTAGATTAGTTCAGTAACTAATGGAATTATCTTCTCTGAATATAGTCACTATTATTATTATTATTATTATCATTATTATTATTATTATTATTATTATTATTATTATTATTATTATTATTATTATCATCATCATCATCATCATCATCACCATCATCATCATCATCATCATCATCATCATCATCATCATCATCATCATCATCATCATCATCATCATCATCATTATTATTATTATTATTATTATTATTATTATTTAGTGCTGGATTAAACCCTTCGGAGGTCCCTAGGCAGTTGAAATCTTGGGGTCCCCTCGCAAATTGTCATCTAAAACATTTTTAATTTTGTTAATGGGTACATTACATTAATACAGTATTTTCTCTATAGTGTCATTAATATAAAGCTTTTGTTTCTTTGAGTTGATTCATTTTTTTCTATGTTTTGGAAACAATTTAAGAAAGTTTGATTGTGATTTTCTTTCAAGATCAAATCAGTTCAGTATTATTCTGATCTGTTGTCAACGGCTCTGGTGGCCTAGTGGTTAGAGCGTCTGCCTCGGATGCAGGAGGTCATGGGTTCAATCTCAAGTTGAGTCATACCAAAGATTTACAAAAATGGTACTAACAGCTGCCTCGCTTGACACTAAGCATTAAGAGGTTAGTGTTTAAGGACTGGTCGGCCTGGTGTCAGGATAATGTGACTGAGTGGAACATCATGCTACATGTCTGCGGCATGATGCCCCAGTGCTAGACATCACTATAAACTGCCACACTGCAGACATCTTAGTGATATGACTGAAAATTTTTTTAAGCTACGTTAAAAGTCATAATCACATCAGACATCACATCATTGATCTGGTGTCGAAGGGCCCCTAAAAGGCATGAAGCCCATAGGCCGATGCCTACTCTGCCTATTTGGTAATCCTGCACTGTTATTCGTGTATTATGATGACTATATACTTCTATATGTCTGCTTTACCACATAACACCTGCATACTTATAATATTTATACTGGACACCGCATAATCAATAATGTTTCCACCATTCTGTATGTATGGTGGAATATGTATAAGTTAATTTTATCATCAGACATTTTTGGCTAAGTTTTAATAATATTTTTTTTTAAAAAAAAAAAAAAAAATAGCGTACACGTATAGATGTGCAGTAAATTGGGGTGCTCCGAACGAAATGGAGAGATATATATTCAACAAAAACAATACCTGGCGCCAAAGACGGACTGGGAACGTCACTGGTGATTGTTAACAGAATGAGCGCTACACGTAGGCCATTGTTTTGGAAACCTGGTAAAGATTTTATTTTTATAAAAAAAAAAAAAAAAAAAAAAAGGATCAAGGGTTATGGATCGAAGTGTAATAAATTGCACGTGAAATGCAGGATGACATTTTACCACAAGCAAATATGAAGCATAAATATTTTCATTTATGTTTGTATAACGTATATTCGAGTTAACTAGATTTGCAAATTTAAAAGCCCCCTAATTGCCAATGGCATGGCCAATTCACAATATTTTAACTGGATCATATGAGATCAATACGATGCATCAAAATACAGTTCCCTGTCTTTGTTTTGTTGTGATATAATACTTTATTACCAACATTTCTCGTATTTTATAAAATTTCTAGTATGTCATTTGCGAAACAGCAAGGATTCTAAGGATAAGATTCATAAGGTAGCCAATCGAAAAAAACAACATCTGTTCTCGAGCGCAAATTTTCACGATGCATGTCACATAGTCCCATTCTCGTATTATAGTCCAACGCTATATTATCGCAGGCTCTATATTGTCGCTGCAAATGGAATTTTCCGATTAATTTTAGACACGCGTCGTCTAGTGGTTGTTTACGCATGTAAAGCTGTAGTCAGTAAGGACGCAAATATATTATAGCGCAATTTAATCTAAAATGTCAACATTTTATACAGTTTACAATGAAAAGGAATTTTTTGTAAAGTGCATGCAATTACGTTGATCACCGTAAACAAAACTCAAACTTGCTATACCGGCATTTGATTTGATTATAAAATTTATTCAGTGTATGGTCTGATGTTTGATAATTATAGGTCATATCCTGATACATGTCATAACAAGGTCAAGGTTGCAATTTGATTTGATGGTAGTCATTATGGACCCAAATTGACACCTTTCAAATGAACCTACTTATCCAACATAAATAGGAAATCAATAATAGTTAAACTAGTTTTAAAATTAGTAACATTTAAATAATAATAATATTATTAATTGATTTATGCATATAGATATAGATTTCTCTGTCCACATTGCACTTAATTCAGATAAAGTGATACATATTTTTTTACTACTGTAGTTTTCATGGATTTCAACTTAACTGATATTAGTGTATTCAATTTAGTCATTAAATCTTTTATTTTCGTGAAAATTTTCAGCCAGTGCAAGCATGGACTTTACATCTTATCACCAAGTTGAAATTTGTGTTTATTATAATATGTGTGTGCTATCATATATAATGTAGGTAAATACCGTGATAATATAGTTGTTTCCCCATGGCACGGTAATCTGGGTCAGCCGGCATAAGCGTTTTTTTTTTTACATTGACGCGATTGTATTGAACGATATCTTTTATAGAAATAGATGGAGAGAAAATCAGAAACTTTACAATTTGTAACAATGCAGCAATAGCAGATCAGTTTTATTGTGTACTGATAACAACATTATGTACCATGATAATAAAGCATCCCAGGCTAATGTGCTACTAATAGGTGAACACCTTTTGTGCAATATGCATAACAAAATTACATGCAGTGAATGATTGTCATCAAACATTTCTTCAGTTTAGAAACAAATAATGCACAGGAAAATGTATTTGTCCATATAAATCCTCTTTTATCACAAGAAAGATGCAGTTTTTTTTAAAGATATTCTGTTACATTTGAAGTTATTCAAATACAATGATCCTGCATAAGAAGTAAAGTAAGTAATGCAAGATAAATATCCTGATTTTTATATTCTTTGTGTTTCAAATTTCAGATAGAATTAAAATGATTGTTTTGTTCACAAGATGGAAAGAAGAAAATTGTCCCATAAAAAGGGAAATATCTGTATAAAAAAATAGTTACAGAAACTGTAACTTAGGTAATATAGAATTGATCTAATTTACTTGTCTGCATGCCTGATATTAGTGGGAAAGAGACCATTGATTGAAATAATAATAATGATCACACTTAGTTTGTTTCATTTATGTTACATCTGCAGTTTGCCGGATAGGACTTTGCTCTGCAGATATGTTTGTATGATTGGCTCTTTGTATGACACAGGCATGTTTTTGTGGCTAAAGGAATACCTTTTGGAGCAAAGGAATTTTTTTGGACCAAATGTTTGCAATACTGTTAATAATGAAGTCTAGAATATCATATTTTTGGGGAAGTAAAAGCATACAAAAGCATATTTCTTTATGTATCCTACATTAAAATAACAAAAGTAAATGTTAAAAATGTGTGTTATGGAGATAATGAATCTGGAGAGAGGCAGAGAGGAGGTGATAGAAGGGTAGCAGTTAGGGCAGAAGCAGGTAGGGTATTCCTGTCTAGGTAGGAGTTTATGTGGATAGTTGTCAGGATTTACTGGAACATCACCCCAGGGTCAGGCAAGGAGAATCATAGTGAAAATGCTAGAAGGTATAATGGAGATATTAGGTGAAGGATACAGATCTATCCCTTTTTTACATGTCAACATGTAGCTAAAACATTTAAATGGATGGTTGTGTCAAAGATTTACATTTGTGTTATATGTCATGTACAGGAACAAAGGCCCCAGGGTCAGGATTGGATGAGGAAAGAGGTGGCGGAGAATCTGACCAGCCTGTTGTCTACAATCCAAATGTGTCCCTTTCTATGGAACAACAGAGGCAGAAATTACCAGTATTCAAGGTATATTTCAATACAAGGATGTAACAATAAATCCATCATGTTTGTTATATCTACATAAACATGGAGTGACATACATATCACTTTTTGATGACGGCGATGATGACATCAGCATTCAAGTTTTGCAAGGTTGATGTACTGGGGGGAGAGGAAAAAAAAAATCATTGTTCAGGTGCATGTGCAATGCCCACTACTACAGAACACTAAAATACACACAGGTACACTACTAGAAGGTAAGAAAAATCTCTACAGACATCCAGTTAACAATGTGTGTGTATATATATATATATATATATATATATATATATATATATATATATATATATATATATATATATATATATCGGAAAATCACCCACACAAGAGTCCTCCATACATACATTTTTGTTGCAAGGAGGAAACTTTTGCAGCAAAATAAATATGTTTTAATCATTATGAAAACTGAAGCAATGCTTTTTTTTTAGTTTGTTGCTGGCTTCTTTGATTAAAGGTCGCTAGCTTGCACACACACACACACAGAGTTGGACCCCGCAATAAGATGGTAGTTGGGAGCCCTAGAACCTGACCATATTATGAATCAAACCGTGTTATAAGCAATCATGTACAGTGCCAACATATTTCCAGGGTCAGCGGGATGGGTGGAGTTGGTAATGAAAACGGGTGTAGAATCATGTGCTTCATTAGCATAATTATCATTTTAAATCAATGTATATTAGATGAAAAAACACTTGCTGCATTGATAACAGAGATTGCATATATAATATATTTCTTTATTTAGAGATTCATGCATTGGTACATACACGTGTATAGTTTATATCTAATCTATAGCATGAATAAAGCAACAACACCATATACTCACCTGTGAATCAAATCACATACATTGAATCCAAAATACAAGTATTTTCATTGAAAATATCTGCACACAAATTTAAAATAATTTTGTTCTAGATCATTATGTGTCTGAATTTAATGGAAAAATAAATAGGAAATATTACATACAGAATGATGGATCAGTACATCCAAAAGTTAAAAAAATTGTGCTACTGCTAAATATTTTCTCACCTGTGAATTGTAGTACTTTATTATTGTTTGAAAAACTCAGTGATTTTCAACTGCTTTCTGCTACTGTCACATATGCTCATCGCAAAGTCAATCATATTTCTTAACTGAAGGATTCAAACATAGTATCATGCATCTCCATTCATTAACATGGTCATGTGACTGCATCAGCTTTCCAAAAGCCCTCTCTGCCTCGAAACATCATTCTCAGAAAATCCATCAAATAAATTACCATCATCATCATCTCTGTTATCCTGAGTAATAGTAAATGCTGACCTTTTTCCCCAGCATTTCTCAATGGAGCTGGGCATAATGGCATCCCTAGATTTGCCACCAAGGTTCCTTACTTTCAGATTTAAACTTTGTAGTGTCGCCAAGACAGAGGCTTCATCGCAATCAATCTTTTTCACAAGTTCTCTTCTATAATTCACTTTAAAAAATGATTTTGGGAAGTGGACATTATTCACTGGTCAACTGATTGCATAATACATCACTGCCAAATCACAAATTTGCCCCATAATTTGAACAAGTTTAGCTTTGCAGTTGGCTTTGATGATGAGCAATGTACTTAAATTCATTGATCTCTAAATTAGGTGAGACTCTTTTATCAACTGCTGCAT